TCTCTTTGAACCAACATTGGTCCGGATGATGCGAACTCCTTCCGCACCTGAAACATTGGCCAGATCCATTCTGTCCACCCCTGCGTGGCTTGAAGTTTTGGCGAACTGCGTTGACTGATGTCTTGCTTTTCACTGGGTTTGACATGTCGTCTCTCATACTCCGTGCCTCAGCGAAAGTCACCTCCCTTGATTGTGCAAAGTCCACTGCTTCCACAAATGTAAGTGCAGGTTTGTCTCTGGCTTTTTCCATGAGCTTGAGTGATGTGGACTCACTGCGCAGTCCGCTGATGAATCTGTCTCTCAAATTTTCGTCGAGCTTGTCGCCGTAGTTGCAATGGAGACTCAGATGTTTGAGGGCTACCACGTAATCTGCTATGCTTTCCGATGACATCTGGTCCCTCTTAATAAGCTTGCGTCTCTCCGCTACTATGATCGGTGGAGCCTTCAAATGCTTCCGCAGTATTTTTTTCAGTTCCCCGTACGATAAGGTGCTGGGTTTGCTTGGCGCCACGAGCTCCCGAACAACGTTGTAGTAGTGCGGCCCTATCGAGTGGAGAAACATTGCTGCCACCCGTGGGGTGCTTTGACTCGGGTCGAGCCCGTACGCCTGTAAGAAGAGCTCAAAACGTTCCACGTAACAGTCCCAATCTTCGTCTTTATCGTAGTGAGACGAAAAAGGGGGGAGAAAAGTGCTCCTTTCCATCGGCAATTGCGCATGGCTATCCTCATTCGCCATCTTCGTCGCCAATTTGTCGTGTATTTAACACGAAACGTGGGTGAAATGATGAACAATTGCGAGACGACTTGTTGTGGTGGAACGGTTCTGGCGGACAGTTTATTCAGTACGACTCAACGTCCGTATGTACAATGCATACAACTCATACACACAGTGCGTGCAAGCACGAGTTGACCTATGACCCTGTTACTACACAAGTATACACATTTGGGTATATGGAACGCCTTATCTAACAATAATACACTACAGTCCCCAGCCATAGGAAAGCACACATGTAAACAAAGCGTGACGTCATTAGGTCTCAGTACTATTTAAAGGTAATATTTCAACATTTGCTTTTGCTGTATATTTCGGAAGTGGATGGATTTGGGAGTCCGTATTTTATAGCAAATATTGTTACACTGACCTGTTTAAATTTTTGTGTTCATATATGCTGGAAAAACCAAGGAAAAATGTTCTTGTAATCTGGTTTCCTGACTCTACTTCAGACGAAACGGAGCAATTTATAGACGTCGGGGGATTGTCAAGACAGGGAACCAGACTAGTTGGTTTGCGCCCATTTACGGATGTGTTACCGATTGCAAACGAAATGTGGACTGACTAAATTTGGTACATTGGGGCAGTATTTGAAAAAAGGCAGTTTTTTGCCACTGATGGTCAGCCGACCATCGTTGGAAATTAATACAAAAATTGCAATTTTCTTGAAAATGACAGCACACAGGTGCATGACTTCAAAGGATACTTGAGACTATTATTCACTTACAGTCAAGTAAGGTATTTCATAACAAATTGTTACTTTTGTTTTGTTGATAATTGCAAATGTTATTACCTTTAAATCAATCGTAAGTCACTGTCACGTCACACCACTTTAAAATATTTCCTGGTCAGATCTGACACGGCGTTCGGAGTCTATTTGACTTTATGCTTTTCAGGGTCAAAAAGGCACCTTTTTGATGTCAAAATGACACTTGGCCCTTTCAATGTTCCCGGATAGTGTAATTCTGACCCGGTAAAGTGTGTTTTTGACCCAGAATAGTGTCGTTCTGACCCGGAAAAGTGTGATTTTGACCTGGAATAGTGTCATTTTGACCGGGAAAAGTGACATTTTGACCGGGAAAAGTGACATTTTGACCCTGAATAGTATCAAATAGGACCTGGATTCCAGGCTTAATCTGACCCGGGTCCCTTTTTTGTGTGTGTGTGTGTGTGGTTTTTTATATTTTTTTTTAGAGTAAAGTAACTAGGGAAGATCGTGACAAAGAATGCGTTGTTACAATTCACCCATGGGTGGTGACAATATTAAAACACCTCCAAGGTTGCCATTACTGTATCATGCACGAATCATGGGTTGATGTCAGGTCTGTTGAAATCCCCCTACCCAGAATTAAAAGGTTTAGACATCAGAAAAGCACACCGTTGCGGATATCGGATATACGGCGTGCTGCATTCTCTGCCCAGCGGTGTATATCCGATCTTCTCCCTAATTACCGCCCATCAATATTCCGAGCGGCAACTTCGATTTCGACCTCACGTCCGATATAGGCAAGCAGCCGCGTCTGTCACACGAATAATCCGCCGGTGTTGTTGTCAACTCTTCCCGAGGAACGATGACCAACGGAAAAGGTTAAAGGCGACACCGTTAGGAGAGAGACATCAGAAGATACCGTTCTCTTGTCTCTTTCGCCTCCGAGGAGAGAAGACACCGCTAGCTGCCCGACCTTCATCTAATTACCACCCATTGATTTCTACCGTAGCGGCTGGTTCAATGTTTTCTGTCTTACTTTCAAGCAACAGGACGCTACGTGAATCCTTCGACGGGTCGAATCAACCATACATGCATTGAAGAACGCGTGAGATACATAATGCTTACAAAGGGTTTCTTCAGAGGACCTTATGATTTACACAATCCTTGGGGATAAAAACAAGGTATTGGACGAACCATGTGTTCACAGGAATGGAGTACCCATCTCTCTTTCGAAGCATTGGGCCAGACTCTAGTCCATGAAATGCTGATGTGGGGGATCGCCAAAACTCCTCCACAGCGAGTCTGTTAATACCTTCCCAGCATTGAATAATGCCGGTACCTGGGTTGAGAGGAGTAATTGAGGTAAAGCGCCTCGCTCAAGGACACAACACGCATGGCCACGGCGGTGCTCCAACCCACAATCTCACGATCATTAATACTGTGCTCCAGCGCTAAACCACATGTGCCCTTGGGGGTATTTCCCTTCAATAGTTCCAAGCCTTTCATCGCTAGAGTTAAGAACTTTAAACAATTTCAAGGAAGAAACCTCAAACACAATGATTGCCTTTGACCATAATTATTGCTTCGTTAAAGTTAACCAAATGTTACACATGGTTCAGTGTTTGCAAAAACCTGACAGCGGAGCGTAAACCTGAACAGTCTGCCTAAGACGTCATCAATGTTGCGTTCATGCATACAGTTCATGTACGTGGAAGCCATGAAAGGAAATCTTTAAAAGGCCTCACAAACTTTGAAACAGAAAATTAAAGGCCGCAGGCAAAGGCGAAGAGGACACAAAGGTTCAATTTTATTAATTAAAGAGATCCATTAAAAAGAAGTCTAGTTTGTCGGGACTTCAAAAGATATCGGATCTGTCTGTCGCACCTCCAACTTCCTCATGCAGTCTTGCAGCCGTATTCGCTTACAGCCTCTCAAACGTTTCACCAGCCCCTTTTTATTAAGAGCACCGATGCTTGAACGTATAGTGTTGAAACGCTGTTCGGTCTGTATACTAAGTGTCATTTGTCTCTCATTTGGCAACTAGAGTCCTCGAAGATTTTTTAGGGAGCTCGCAAAATTGGTCCTCATTATATAGGTAGCGGCGTCGTGCGCCAGAGGGGATTGATATCATTACTCGTTTAATGAAGTACCGACATGAGACGAGACAATTTGGTGAGGCCAGCTTCAAATTGGCTCATGTGAGAAGTTAAGATGAAAGCTGCCCTTCCGGAGCTTGGAGGATGCAGCTGTGTTGTATTACGTCAAAGAAAACGGAAAAATAACAAGGTTGAAACATAATTGTGGTTTTGTATGACATTTGCCCCCCACAAGGCTCTATTTAAGGGCCACTGGGGGGGGGGGGGGGGCTGGTACCATAAAAAGGCCACAACTTCTTTTTATAAAAAGGGCAAGTTGTTCAGGAAAAAAGGGCAATTCTTAAAACAGGGCACTCTTTACAAATTATTGGGGGGGGGGGGTAATCCCGTTGAAAAAAGGGCATTTGAATGGAAAAAGGCAGTCTTTACAAAATATTGGGGGGGGGGGGAATACCCCCCTTACCCGCCCCGCCCCCCCCCCCCCCCCCGGCTGGGTACGCCTATGGCGTGGGAAGGAAATTGGAAGAATACTTCTTAGATTTTGCTTTGGGAACAATGACTGTATATGATGTGAGTGGATGAAGAAGCGTGTAGTGCCGCTAGTGCGCCCCAAGGAACGGTTAAGAGGAACAACCAGAGAAAGAACGCGTGTACAGACTCCATGTTAGTATCTGTGCAACAAGCACACGAGACGCAAAGGTGCTCTAACCTTGCATACTCTTTCAGGACCTGTGAACAAAAGAGGTCCACAGGATACAGGAACCGTGAACGCTTTGTGGACTGGCCCACGTCCACACTAGGTTCCCCCCTCCCCGTTTCTGGAAAACAGGTTTAGAGGCATTTTGGGTTAGGTTTATCCGTCGCAAAATGAAGAGGAACACTCAAGGAAATCATGATAACAAATTTGTGTTGAAAGAGTGTTCACAGTGGGTGTAAAATGACTTTTTCTCCGGTTTTTCTTAACTAAACCAATACAAAGGAATGTCCACAATAGGTATGTAAGGTAAGTATGTGGGTGTTTCCTGTGTCTTTCCTATAACGCACACAAGTATGTAAAAACACCTTCAATCGTGGAACCCCTATTGTCCCTATTTTGATTGTACTTCAACTTTTTAGGAAGACCTCCCATATATTTTGTACACGATCGTCAATCGTGGACCTTCTGGAATTATCGACCCTATTGTCCTTTATTGTTCAACGTCCCCTATTGAATGCAAAAACAAACCCACCCGTTTTCAGGTACAATTTAAATGCGTTGGATTTTCCTTCTTTTCCTCTTCAAACATGTTTTGTAATTAGTGGCCCTAGAATTTTTTTTCGAGTCGTTAAGCAATCAAAAGCTACTTTTGGTTGAACTTTGTCTTGCGAATCCACGGCCTAAAAATGTAAATTTAAATTGGAATTGGAAAGCCGCCAACATAGCGATAGGATAGCTCAGTTGGTAGAGCGCCGGAATAAGAAATCCGAAGGTCGCAGGTTCAAACCCTGCTCCAGTCAATTTCTTTGTTCAAAACAAATTAGAAACCTGTAATTATTATGTCTGGTTAAACGTTCACGCTCCCCCTACCTAAGCAAATCATTTTATTTACAATCATATCACAATGTGTAAGAAAGTGACTTTCGATGACATCTACATAAGTTATTGTGGAGGTCACCCGGGAGAAAGGCGATAACAGTGTTATGTAGCAATTATGAACGCGAGGTTTAAAACCGGCCAATGGCCTGCTTCTCCGATAATTAATGGGAGTAACCACCCACATGACGGGGTCTCAACCAATAGGAACGATTAAATCGGCCAAGGTAATGCATTGTCTTTAAAATAAATCCAGCATGGTACACTTTTATCAAAACATTAATGGGCCCATGTAATGTATGTTGTTTAATACAGTCCTTGTAAATGCAGTGTCCCATTTAACCTTATTTTCAATTTTCATTTTGCAAGGTTTAACGGCATTCAAGTTGGTGCCTTTTTTATGCTAATGCAAATTTGCATATTCATGAGCAAAAGTGTGATGTCATTTTTGGCAGAAAACTCCATGTTACAGCTATTTCAGCACAAAGATTTGGCAGAATTTTTTATTTGTTGCAGTCGTAAATTTTCTTTTCTTTGGTATTCGTTGTTGTTTCAGTACACGACAGTAGGCGAATGGGCAAACTTTTCTCACAAAATGTCATCAGTGAGCAACTTTTGGTTTCACAATTTGAACAGAAAACCCTCAAACTGAACAGTGTCTTCCTGAAAATGACATCACAGCAACAGCGCTTTTATTTGTCCGGAAAGGCATGGATTTTTTAAAAACGTTTAAAGAGGTGCACTTTTCAATAACATTAACCAAAAAAAGGGATGTCAAGTTGTTTTTATACATTTAAGAGGAGTAGAAAGTTACACAAAATATGTTTCCAAGTAAAATTCATGCCAGGGGCCCTTTAAAATTAACGGATGTAATGGGAAATCAAAAGACCAAAATCGATCTCAAAGCGCTCACAATTAAATGAGTTTATGCTGTCCACATTCAGCTACATTATGAACATGCACCTGTCTAGACAGCCTCTCATTTCCAGAGAGCAGTTGAATTCATCACAAAGGCTTTTAACATCAATGAAACCCATTCGCTTAGTGCTGGCTTGGTGACGACTATTAGGGACGTGTCAATCATCCCCATACGCTCTCGCTTGGATTTGCAGACATTTTGTACCGAATCACAGCGCAGCATGTTGTCTCAGAGAAAGGGTAAAGACAAAATGTAGATAATCAGAACGAGCCGTTTTACTGTCGACTTGCGACCCAGTTGAACGCCCTGAAGTAATCGTCTAGGGATGAATGTTCCATTTTCATCAGGCGCGAGTTAAAGGCACATAATGAACATTTGATTTATCCCAAAAGCAGCCTACCAAATTATCAAAAAGCTTACTAAGTTAGATTTAAGATCGTACTGGTAGTTCACACGCCGTGAAATTATTACATCTGGCTTGCTGTCGTTTAGAAGCATTCAACAATGTAGGTGATTTCCCAAAGATCAGTCAATTGACTGATTTTTGGCGGAAAAAAAGACTTACATGTTATCGTGTTTCGTGATTAAAGGGTTGTGCATGGTTTTTCACTGTTTTTTCGTAAAAGGTGTAATATCCACTGAGCTGTAATTTCAAATAGGTTTTGAACATTCTTCTTTGGATTTTGAATGGTGTTATTATTGGAAACGAACAAAATGCATGAAAAGCAAATGATGCCATATTATGCCTTTTTAAAATCAAGCACTTTCAGAATCGTTGATGTCGCATGCCAAATATTTGTCTCTGGTGAATAAATCAGAATAACAGTGGCGTTTCCAGGATTTTCCGAAGGGGATGGCTGGGGTTTTGAATTCCAAGATCTATCAAGAGTGGAGGTGGATGATGTATTGCAGTCAACGCAGAGAGCGGCCAAAGAAGGAAAGCAACGAAGCAACATTTGCAATATTGAGTGATGACGTTATTCAGGAAACTTGAGTATCAATGCGGGTTTTTTTCCATTCTGTAAATAACTAACATCGGTTAGTCGGGAGGGAGGCGGGGAAGGGGAGGTTAGCCGCCCGAACCCTCTCCAATCTGTTGTGGTGTTGTTGATCGGAGTAACAGCCTACCTGAGAGGTATTGTGGCATACGGTGGTCATGCTTAAAAACTGTCCTAAATATTTGAAATGTTCAATGACTAGGCAATGGGGTTTTATAATTTATCCTTTATAGCGAGTTGACCTTTCACTGGATGTAAACCGTTCTACCATTGTTTTTCGGTTTGGTTAATGCCATACTGCTTCACTGATTGTAAAGCCCCAGTCGCCCGTTCACGGTTGAAGCTACGAATATCCACGGTTTACCAAGAATCAATCAATCACGATAAACCGTCGAGATTCGTGGAGAAATCGACTTTCTAAGAATGCACTACGGTTTCAGGACGGATGGCCACGACTGTCCTAAGGTTTCTCTACGAATACACCACTGTTTGTCGAGAATATAGACGGTTTGTTGAAGAATATCCACGGTGTGTCCTTTCTCTATGGTATTACTAAGAATAATGAAGTTAACGCCACCGCCACGGTTGTTTGCGATTGGGCCACGTTTGACCACGGTTCTCCTACGGTAGATGCTAATGGTCACTACCTGTGAATGTGCCGTGTGTGGTTATCACAATCGTGCCGACACAGCACTGCATGGGTTTTGGCTCTACGTTTTTCTCACAGTTTTTGCCATCCATCAGCTTTGAAGGCTTGTTGTTTATATAGTACTACATTTGTACCTACTGCGCGCGGCTCTATACGATCTTTGCCTAGTACTACAGGGTGTCCCAATAAACAGTGTGCATGAAGATATCGCTGATTTTCGCAAACGTTGGTCAGACTAGCTAAGGCCCAAAAAAAAATTTCTCCGGTTTCTGGTATGCGCGTGCGTCGCCGTAGCCATACGCGTCGGCAAAATGAAAAAGTTTTTTTTTCAATGAAAGATGATGTCTCAAAACCGCCAAACTCACTGGTTTGACTGGAATTCTGCTGCTGCGCAATTTTAACGTGTTTTTAGATTGGGTTATGGTCGAGAATAAGCTTTATGTGGCCTCTCTGGACTCCCATATATTTGCACTAAGTTTAGTCGGGCACCATTTGCAGTCATCAGCCGACATTTGAAGCAAAAAAGTCGGGTAAAAAAAAAAAAAGCCGCGTCGCCGCACCACTTTTTGGACAAGCTCCATACCAGAACCCGGAGACTTTTTTTTTGGCCTAATCAAATCTTATAGCATTTTCAAGCCTATGTTCTTGTTTATAATTAGTGAACAAATCAAGAAAATCCACCGATGTAAACCATAGATATCTTTGATTGGGTAAGGCTATGTATTTTTAGACTTGCACAATGCAACTTCCACACTTAGTATTTGCTTGTATATACTTTGACATTCGAGTACGAGTACTCATGTGTAAAAGTACTCGAGTAGCACTCGAGTACGACTACCGAGTATGAGCACTACAACACTGGTAAGTGACAGCCCTAACAGCACGAAGGCACTTATGTTCTAACTTCCGGCCTTCACTTTTGATAACTATAAGATCGATTAACGAAATAGGGCCTACACATCCTCTTCCATCAAGAGAAACACTGTCGGTGAATGAACAGTTACTCAGGAAATCCGAAGTGCAAAGATCGTGCGTGTGTCAGCGTACCACTAAATCATTTTCATACACTATACTAAAAAGCAGGTCCCGAGGCTTGGAAGTATGGGGTCACTTGCGTGAACAAGACAAAATAGACAAACACAACTCCGACCCCATTTCAATGAATTACATGCAGTGTCAATTTCAGGCCCCATGATCGAGTGTTCCTTGACAATTAGATTAATGTTCAACCGATTGCCAGCCTTGTGCGCCAGTTTATGTAAGAAATCATCCAAATGTCATTACAAAAAAACCGTGTCGAAAAAGCCATGAGCGAAAATAGGTTGCCAACTCTTGAGTGCTTGAGTGTAGAATGCAGATTCTTATATTGTGGTGTGCCGTGGCATAACAATCTTGAAGCTAACTTGCCATTGCACAACGTGCAACGTGTAAAGGAACAAATGATCATTAGTTTTATGTACGGTGCATAACAAATAACCTGTAGAAGTGCTATATCAGTGGCTACTAAAAAACATTTTGAGAAAACAGAGGAAACATAATTATGCACAATTTTGTGGAGTCTCGTGACTGGATTCCGCTGTGTAAAAAATATACGTGCATGCCCGCCGTTATACTTTTCCAACCACCATGATCAATGATTGTTTTCTTCCAAACGATACCGTTTCAGGCGTAATAATTTCACATGGTATTTGGAACCAGTCCTATCTTCACTTTGAGCAAGGATTTTCTCGTTTAATGGCTAGGTACGTTTCCAGGTAAATAACCAATGTTCCTACGTGCCCAGCTAATGCGGCGTCGTAAAACGTGCAACATTAAAAATTTAAACAGAGACAAAGATTGGTCGATTGCAGCCGTCGACAGCGTTGACTAGCAACGCAAGGGGCCATTTTTCGCTGAATTACGACAAACAGCCGTGTGTGCGATGTTTGGTTGATGAGCTCAGTGTCCTAGCTATATAGCTCTATGTTGTGGTGATAAAAATCACAGTTCTTTGACCTCATTTGAGCGTAACAGCACTGATATCGGGAATACGTCATTACGAGTACCGATGAAAAGATTAGACCGAGGTTAAGTTTGTTTTTATTTTTAAAGCACCGTATATCAGGTACATCGTGGTGGTTTTTTTTTTTTTTTTTTTTGCTTGATGAAAACGTGCTGCATGTCTGATCAATCCTGAACCCGATAGCTAGCCCAGTGACCTTTGCATCAACAGATAAAACAATAAATTACTATTTATACACGCCGACCACGTCGGTGCTGTCAAAATATACCCCATAAACATCTTTATTATGCATGCACATTGTAAATACACCGACATGCATTTGAATAGGCATCTGAATAAGGGCTACTGCAAAGAAT